TTTGAGTAGGTGCGGCTATAAGACTGTTGACTGTTCACTTTAACTGTGTATCGCAGTTTTATCCAAGTTACTTTTGTTGGACCTTGTTTAATAATTGAGGTAGAATTGAATGTTTCTAACTAAGATGTATGATGTATCTATAGAAGATGCCAAAGACACGAGCTAAGACAAGAAAAGTTGACAGGAGGACCCTAAGAAAAGAAAGATTTCATCATTTGGGAAAGAAAAGTTGGGAAAAGGTATGATTTCATGTAACTCTGTGTTAGTTAAGCATAGCTAGTGGATGGGAATGGTCTATAGAAGAGTTGCAGGGGAAGTACATGTAATTAAGGAGAGCAGTACCCTTTTCTATACGCCTATGGCGTCGGTGAGGGCAATAACGAGAGTTGTGGCTCATTGTCAATCATCTTAAGTGGAATTGAAGGAAAAGTCTTGTTATGAGATGAAGTAGTACTATTAATAGCAAGCCAAACAGCTATTTTACTTATTGCATGACTCCTGAATGGATAGACTTTTTGTAACTTGTAGCACCACTTTACTTGTTGCTACAGCTAAGTATTTGGTTGTTTTATACTTGTATATCTAATTGCCATCAGCTGTTTTGCAAATGTTTTTGAAGCTTTTGTGTTGGGGTATGTCTGTTTTTTACGATTGGTAGAGTATGTCATTAAATTTAAAAACCATGATTATAGAGGAAGGAAATAGTGTTCAAATGCACTATTTCCTTCCTACATAATGGTGTCACTAGGCACTATTATACACATATACAATTTGACCTATCTATGTAGGCAGAAATTAGTACCAAGCACTATTTTGTCCCTACAACACTATAGGGAAGAATTAGTGCCTGCTGCACTATTTTGTTCCTACAATACTTAAGGGAAGAATTAATGCTTGCTGCACTACTTTGTCTCTATAATACTATGGGGAAGAATTTGTGCCCTCTGCACTTTTTTTCAAAATGTAACAGCACTTTGTTTCCCTCATATACTGTAGTGGAAAATTTTGGAGGGAATTGAAGTTGGTGAACTTGGCATTTTGATAGCAAAACTCCAAAATAAAATCCACCATTTCAAGCCATTATATGCATGCTCAATGGTATGTGACCACAAATTTGCCAAATTAAAATTTGCCAATTACAAAAATATAGTAATTTGACGAATTCAACTCCCTCCAAAATTTCCTGCAATATGGGATAGCTACGCAACATTTATCTGGTCACCTTTAGCATTCCACCATGCATTTTGCAAGTATAA